AGCTGCACACACACACCGAGCTTTACACACCACGGACGCCGCGCACACGCACCACAGTCCAACACACGACAGCAAGACACACACACACAGAGCCCCCCACACCCCGCAGCCCCACACACACAGCTACAGACACCACAGCCCCCCACACACCACAGCTACACACACACACACAGCCCCGTACATCACAGCTCTACCACACACACAGAGCCCTAAACACACCACGGCCCCCATGCGCGCTTGCAGCCGCATACACCACGGCTTCACATCACGCCCTCACTACTCCACGCACACACAGCTCCACGCACCACAGTTACACAGCCACACATGCACACTGCCACAACTCCACACACAAACAGCCCCATACACACACACCACAGCCCCTCCCAGTCCCCAGCCAACCGTCCCACAGCGTCACAAACACCAAAGCCCCCACACACCACACAGCCCCACACAAACTGCACAACCACATCGCACCACGCACACCGCACAGCCCCTTCCCCAACCGCAGCACAATCCCCCCAAAGCACAGGCACACTCTTCGATCCTCACACACACAGCATGCACAGGCAGTGCCACAGTCCCCGTGGCTCTGAGGAGCCAGCCCTGCTCCACACCACCCAGCCCCATGGCTCCTGAGCCACCATGCTGCTGGGGGCGGGGGGGGGGGGCTGCAAGCCCCACGGCTGCCGCGGGCCCACTGTGGACCCGGGGCTTCGCACCTCTCTCCCACTTCACCGAATACTTCTCAGCAGCAGGTGTTACCACAGAAGCCTGGGGCTGCTTTCACGTATGCCCTGAGACAAGGCTGTCCCCTCTGGTGTCACCTTGCCCATGGTCACTGTAGGCCCCCTCCTGTGTGAGAGATGGGATTTGCAATGCTATACAACGAAGGCTGAGCTGCTTCTGACTTCTCTGAGCCTCAGGTGACGTTCCTTCATTTTAGGTCTTTCTCAAATCCTAGGACCCCAGGGCTAGTTACTATCCTCCTCCATCCCTAAAAGCAACTCCATGTATCTCATTCCTGGTTACACATTGCCTAAGGCCTTTGGATGCCCTTCCTGAGATACAAGGGGGCAATGGGAACCCAGTGCCTTGCAAATGGATCAAACGTGTGGGCTGAGAAGGCAGTCTCCGAGACAGAAGCCCGCTGAAAGGCGCACCTCCGGCTGAGCAGACAAAACATGTCACAAACCCTTTGTGAAACTTGGTCTCAGGGAGGAGGAGGAATTCATTTCATTAATTCAGCAAACAAGATTTCACCCTGGGCAAATTCAGCATCACATCACCTGAGCATCGCCAGAATCATTACAGCACCACACAGAAAGAAGGTCTCGCCTGCCGAAGGAAGCTTGTACGTAACACCAACAGAAGGAAGGAGGGGAAAGAATGAGAAAAGAGGAAATACCCAGTTTCGATCAACTCCTTAAAAATAGAAGTCTGATTACCATTGCCCATTTCTGATTCCCCAAGGGAGAGCAGGAGAAGAAGAAGAATCTATAAATAGTTTGCAACACAGACAATCCTATAGCAAAGTTGCTGGGAAAGATCAATAGCGTGATTCAAGGAGGGCTCCAAATTACATCTCGGGGGAGGGAGGTGCTGAACGGAATTGATAAATGAGTTGCAAATGCTGTGTGTGTTGTGTGTATCTAATTAACAGAGGGTGACTGGGATCAATAGCAACGAAGGCGCCGGTCTAAAAATAGCGCTCAGGCAGGGATTGCAACCTGCGGGCAACAGCTTGGATGGAAATGTCCCCTGGAGTAATTAACCTTTACCTGGAAAGTAGTGGGCAGCTGCGAAGGGACGAGGTCTCCATGGGACTTCAGGGCACAGAGTAGTGTGACAGTGGCGGAGGGTACAGGCACGGCCAGGAGATCGCAGCCTTCCTCTGATGGGGCTGCAGTGTCAGGCTGCAGGTGGGTGTAGCGCTTCCTGGAGAAATATCTGAGTATTAGCATTTTGCTGGGGTTGTGAAACGGGAACTTTGTGAAGTTCTGTGCACTTGCAAAGGTCTTAATATTGCTTAGAGAAAAGTCACAGTCACTTTTTAAACAACTGTTTGCGTCTACAAGAATTTGGGATTTTCTTCTTTTTCGCTGACCTTGTTGCCAAGGAAGTATCCACCTCTCTGAGGCCCAGTCTTTGCTCATCCAGACTCACCGGCAGAAGTCCGTATTTTGAACAACAGAGCAAATAACCTCCAAATAGTAGTGCCCTTCAATCCTTCCATCTACAGCAGAGCAGTCAGGCAAACTTCAGGGAGAAGGACTGACATTGGACAGGATGATCAATGGCTCAGCCAGAGTGCCAGGCCGAGCTGGTGTCACCTAGGTGAGGCAGAGACACATACACCCAGGAACAGAAAGTTCATTGTCAGCCAGAGTGCAGGATTGGGACCCAGGGGTATACAGCATGACTGAAAGAAAAGGAAACAGTAAAGATGAAGAATCTAGAAAATAACTCTTTGTAAAGCTGGCATGGAAAGTATTGGAGGGGTAAGGCATAAGCGAAGAGCTTTTCTCTCTTTAATAGAGATGGAAATGGCAAAAAAGATCTTTCCTGGCCAAAAGTTTTCTCCATAAGTTAAAAAAAAAAAAAAAAAGTCTTTTATTCTGTAGAAAATGACTGACTGGGGACCTCGGCAGCTGTAGACAGAGCTACTGAGGGAGCAAACCTCGATTAGTCACTAAAAGGAAGGTTAACTCAAAGTGTCAACAGATTTTAGTTCCTCTCAGTTTAGTCTAACTTGAAGGAGAGCAAGCAGGGTGGAAGATAGCCCTGAGCTGTGTAGTGGTTGCCCTGGCTGCTGACAGCTGTCCTAACCCAACATTTCACCTACTCCCTCTATAAGAAGCCAACGAGAGTTAGAAGTCTCCCACGTTCAAGGCAAGAGCGTGTGGGTGCTGTTGTATTATAGCAGCTCTCTTGTTTTACCTTGAGTTTACTCAGCAACGAAGGGAGAGGTAGCTGCAAGGGCAACAGTCATCCAGGTTGCTTTTGTGAACCTCTCCTGTCGCTCCTGTTGACTTGTCAGCAATGCTCCTTGAGAGAGAGATCTAATGTCTCTCTCTCTCTCTGCAAGCGGGGGCTGAGAGCTGTCAATCCATGAGCCATCTTCCAGCAGAACCACAGGAGTCACAACAAACCGGAGAAGGAAGAAAAGCCCCCAAACTGGAAAAATAACTCAAAAACATGATCAAAACTG